TACTTACTTACTTACTTACTTACTTACTTACTTACTTACTTACTTACTTACTTACTTACTTACTTACTTACCAGCTTATGCCTGTTACTCCCAGTGGAGCATAGACCGTCGACCAACATTCTCCAATCCACTCTGTCCTGAGCCTTCTTTTCTAGTTCTGTCCAATTGTTGTTCATCCTTCTCATGTGTATCTCCCTTTCTTGGCGTAATTTGTTCTTTGATCTTGAGGATTATAAGTGAGGGCTTGCCATGTGACACAGTTGGGTGCTTTCTTTAATGTGTACCCTATCCACTTCTAGTGCTTCTTGCTGATTTCTTCATCCGCTGGGATCTGATTTGTTCTCTTCCACAGTAGGCTGATAGTGTTTGACCTACACATCCAAAGTATTTTACGTAGTCAACTGTTAATATACACTTGTATCTACTGGATGATGGCTTTCGTAGTTCTTCAAGTTTCTGCCGCATACAGTAGAACTTTATTGACACTTGTATTGAAAATTGTGATTTTGGTGTTGGTTGACAGATGTCTTGATTTCCAGATATTCTTCAGTTGTGGATATGCTGCTCTTGCCATAAAATGTGCTTGACTTAAATTTCATTCTAGCTATTCATTAAAATATCCGGAAATGGATGGGTTTAATTATGTTCCAACTTTGGTTACTAAGTTTCACAAGTGTGAGATATTACTTGTAAGCTGTTCAGTATGAGACTCATCTTTTGTATGTAAGAGATTTCTCATTACATAATGATTGTTTAATAACAAATCCCATTACTACCCATCTCTATATACTAATTGAATTCTATAAATAGAATCACGATGTGATAAAAAGACTAAATCACCCATTATCACATAGATTATGTTTATGATTATGGGGTTGTGGAGATTATCAAGTTTATGATTGAGATCATGAACCGATTGATTTTAGACCATCACTTATAACCTGGAAGCACGGGACTCCCCAGAATTGCACATTCACGATCCCGTCCCGTGAGATTTAAACCGAAGACCCAACAGTCTCGTACGCGAACGCTTAACCTCTAGACCACTGAGCCGGTCGGCATCCAAAGGTGTTAATGTCATACTTCAACTAATTCACAAAATTAAGCCAACGTTCACTATTGTTTTCAGTGAGTTACTATCTCACAACATACTCTGTTGAACTCCACTCTTCATTGCTTCTCACTAGAACTCTAGGAAATATCTCTTGAAGCCAGTAACTAGGAAGAAAACGGTCGTCCAGTGCTTTCATGTTTTCCATGGTGCTTTAACTTCAATGGATATAATTATGACTTACATAATGATCAATGTTAAATATGTCACTTTGTTAATGAGATGAATTTGAATATGATGTTGTTTTTTTTTTACATTGATAAAGATTTAGATTTTAACTCAGTAAACTTGAGTAATGAAATATCTGTTCATAAGTATTAATACCACAAAGGGGTTTTTGTAGATATTATAGTTATTTTAAATACTTAAGATCATTAGTAGTCAATTGAACGTAGATTACCATGGAAAACCTGCAAGCATTGGATTAGTTTATCCCCTCCCCCCCCCAAAAAAAAAAAACAAAAAACAAACAAACAAATAGAATCTGTATTCATAGACTATTAAGATTCACTTTGTTTCATATGTTTGAATTATATAAAATTTATTGTTGAATACTGTAATGCATCCATTAAATAATTGAATCAGTTCCCATCATCCCCTTTTTATATATTTGATATTAGAAAACAATTTCTAAAGTTACTTAAACTGTTACTACTTGCACCTAATATTAATTTATATATATGGTGTTGGTCGGCCCTAATGGGTTGGTGTCTGACGAAATCTCAGCATGGATTCGAAAATCTCGCTTGGCTTTTGCCAACTCACGTCACCTATGGCAAAGGCGAGATATCCGTCTATCAATAAAAGGACGAGTATACTGCGCGGCAGTCCGTTCTGTTTTAATTTACGGCAGTGAAACATGGCCATTAAGAGTAGAACACACTCGTAAGCTAGTAGTATTTGACCACAGATGCCTCAGAAATATTGCTGGCGTCCGCTAGGATCACCGGGTAAGTAATAATGAGGTTATGTGCAGGGTATTAGGGAATAATGGTAAATCAGTTGATGAGGTTGTGAATCTTCATCGACTGAGATGGTTGGGCCACGTGTTACGTATGCCTGAACACCGATTACCACGACGTGCAATGCTAACCGGTGTTCAGGATGGTTGGAAGAAATTCAGGGGCGGCCAAGCCAAAACGTGGCATCAGTGCTTGGAGTTAGTAACTTCTAGTCTGAGCCATGTTGGTAGATGCAGACTACTTGGTTGGGGTCCGCGTGACTTTCGTAACCAATGGTTGGAAACTGTGTGTGACATGACTCAGAATCGATCACGATGGCGTCGGTGTATACACTCCCTGTTTTCCCTTAAACTAAGAGATTAAAATTGCTTCATATCTTTCTTTCTACGGACTAATTCTTTCTTCCTGTACTATATCCTTATTGCAATCTTTCTTTTATATATTACCACCTCTGAATTAACTACTTTTATGAATCCGGTGTTCATCTTGTTGTGCTCATGCGGTATGGCAACCTGGACCGATGAACATATGTGCCTGGTCCTACGTTGTAGCTGACTGATTGACTGACTGATATGGTGTTGGTATACAAGATACAGTGACTCCAAAAGTGTCAAAATTCATATTGTGATTTTTTTAAATTTATCAAGAATATCTTGTTACTGGTCTTTTGTTTTTGGTGTAACATTGTTGTAATATGTCAGTTTACTCAATAAGTCTTAATAGAAATACAACTGGTTATGATGTATGCTACTGATATCATCAGACCTAAGTAGTATAGTAGTGAATAAGAACACAAGTGGGGATACTTAAACAAACAGCTTTGTAAAATGTGAGAACCATATAGCATATAGTTAATTTGCAAAATATTAATCCATTGTCAAAAACTTTACTGTTTCTTTTGCAAATATCAGCTTATCGTCTCAGATTCCATTAGTCTTGAATTTTTATACCAATTGCTTTCCGTTTCCGTTCTTTCGTTCTCGATCTTCTACTGAAATACATTCTATTTGTGACTATCGTTATATACTACTTATATAAATATAAGTAGCTCACACCACCAATCAAAAGTGAAATGTCTGACGACTGGAAACTTGAGAAAATCGAACAGAAGAGAATGAAAACATATATTGATTAGTATAGAAACGAAGAAACAACAAAGTTTGAGATAATTGATAGATATTTTATAGATGAAGTATTTACTATATAGTTACCAAAATATTCTATAATTGATAATATACAATTATACCCACGTTTGTTCTGATTCACTACAAAGTAATTATTTCTATGGTATATGGAAATAAAATATTTATAGAAATATATTTATGATTGAATTCGTCGTCCATAGATCTTTCATAACAAATTTATGAGCTATAATAATAATAATAACAGCAGTGGAATATGGTCACGCGATGTCAGAAATTAATTGAAGTTAAGTTATATGCATCATTATATTCCGCCTCAGTAGCAGTAGTAGTGATAGTCGTAATCTTAGTCGTAATAGTAATAGCCACAGTTCAAATAAGTATTCATAGGAGTTCTAATAAAGAGTAAAATTACTTAAAGTAGATTAGATAGTGGTTGGAGGTAGTCGACTGGATACTCTGGACCCGGGTTTCGTGCTACTTTGTACTCATCAGCAAGGTGTACCTGTAAACTTGATGGAACTGATGCTCCCTGGCGGATTACAATCCCGTTTCACCCAGCTTCACAGTCAGAGATGTTACCACTGAGCTATCCGGGCTGCGACTAACCTCCTAAGGACTGAGATGTAATCACAATTGATTGATTACTGGATGATCATCAATGTCATGTGTGTCAATTCCTTATTTAGTGCAGATCAAATGCCATCAACTATGTTGCCATGTGGCCACTAGACTAGATGACTCGACACTATGTGCACTATATATCGAGATTTGATGGTGGTTATAGGAAGTTGACAAGAAACCCTGGATCCGAGTTTCGTGCTACTAGGTACTCATCCGCAAGGTGTATCTATAAACTTGATGTAACTGATGCTCCCTGGCGGATTACAATCCCGTGTCACCCAGCTTCACAATCACAGAAATTACCACACAGTGATTAATCAATTGTGATAGATAAACTAGATTAACTATATCAACTATGCTAATAATAACCTATTATAAACAATCAAAAATGATGATCAAGTTATCATCATTAATTCTAACATTAAAATCTGATATAAATAATAGAAAATTTTAAATTGATATCGTAAACATTGTAAATTATTAAAATTATACGGACACTCATTCGATTGGGAAAATGTAGAAATCTTAGACAGAGGAAACTCCAAAAATACCAGAGAATTTTTAGAAGCCTGGCACTCAGGTCAATCAGCAATCAACAAACATATTGAAATCAATCCAATTTATCAACCAATCAGAAAAATCATGCATAAATATAGGAACGAAAATCAAACCAATGGAAGACACAACCAAAACAAAGAAGTAAACAATGATAAATTTAAGGTCAACAAGAACCAATCAACATCGAGGTGCACAAAACAAGCTGTGAAACACATATGGAGAAATTCAAACACTTCACTTCAATTTGAAGTTTGTGCTGATGATGTCGTTCAGAAGAACGATGAAAGCTCCACGACCAAACCATCCAGCTCAGAGAACAAAACTCCACCAATATCAAAATTATAAAATAAAAGTTAAAAGATATAAGAACTATCTAATAAGATTCAAGATTTAATTAAAAGAAAAGTATTTAAAATTTGACTATGATTATTATTTGATTAATCTATTATAAGATGAATAATGTTTCATTTCTATATATAAATACCATTTCTATACTTCAATAGACTAGAGACAAACAATTAATTGGATATAATATCAGAACAAAAGAAAATGAATCTATTTAACATATTCATTTTATTCATAATACAATGTTATGTAATCGAAATGAAACCGTATCGATATGATAAACAACAACAAATAGAAATGATCAATAAAAGAACAATAAATGGTAAGAATATAATTAATTATGTATAAATGGCAAAATTAAAATGCGTTTAAAAAAAATATTGAAAAAAAAGAAGAAAAATCTAGTGAAATTAGATAAAAGAAACCGAGTAATTCAGAAGAATTAGTTCGTCATTCACAACAACGTTGGTCGTCATACAATATTGCCGATTACTGCTCAGTCGGTCGTTCGTTCGGTCGGTTGATCGATCGGTCTCTCTGTCTCTCTCCCTCTGTCTGCCTGTCTATCCGCCTCACTGTCTTTCTGTCTGTTCGTCTGTTCGTCCACCGTCTGTGTTTCCACCTGACAAACTGTCTGACACACATTGTCTCTCTCTGCACATTCACACTTGACAATTTCACAATCACACAACATTCATTGATCACTCGACACGCACAAGTCAATCTCATCTGATTACTTTCATTGTCGAGTGGAATATCCGTGTGTGCATTGACCACTTGACTCACGGTTTTCAATCAATCACCTTGTAGATGGGAATCCAGATGGCAACGATCAAGTAGAAAAGGAGGATCCTAATTATGGTGGTAAGTGTCTCATAAATCATTTGCATCAATGTATATTGATATTGTTTTGACTATCTGACACACGTGTGAACCATCAGTCCGGTACAACTACACACAAACACTCTATTTCTCTTACACACTCACACACACAAACACATACATAAATACATACCTACATTCACACAAGTGCACACGCACACATTGCGAAACACAATCACTCACATTCACTGACTCGCTCACTAGATTACTCAATTATTAACACAATCACTCACTCAACCACTTCATATCACCTCTATTCTACACTTACACCCCCATCAAACATCACACATTAAACACATTTCACTATCAAATCAATCATTGCTTCAATCACATTCCTCCACATATAACACATTCCCTCTCCAACTAAACATATAGCCATATAAACATAAACATATTTTTATTTAAATCTACATGAATCCACGACATTGCCTCTTCTCACATCACCATCGCTCACAATCTCCTTCTCCATTCACAACAACGTCGGTCGTCACACAATATTGCCGATTACTGCTCAGTCGGTCGTTCGTTCGGTCGGTTGATCGATCGGTCTCTCTGTCTCTCTCCCTCTGTCTGCCTGTCTATCCGCCTCACTGTCTTTCTGTCTGTTCGTCTGTTCGTCCACCGTCTGTGTTTCCACCTGACAAACTGTCTGACACACATTGTCTCTCTCTGCACATTCACACTTGACAATTTCACAATCACACAACATTCATTGATCACTCGACACGCACAAGTCAATCTCATCTGATTACTTTCATTGTCGAGTGGAATATCCGTGTGTGCATTGACCACTTGACTCACGGTTTTCAATCAATCACCTTGTAGATGGGAATCCAGATGGCAACAATCAAGTAGAAAAGGAGGATCCTAATTATGGTGGTAAGTGTCTCATAAATCATTTGCATCAATGTATATTGATATTGTTTTGACTATCTGACACACGTGTGAACCATCAGTCCGGTACAACTACACACAAACACTCTATTTCTCTTACACACTCACACACACAAACACATACATAAATACATACCTACATTCACACAAGTGCACACGCACACATTGCGAAACACAATCACTCACATTCACTGACTCGCTCACTAGATTACTCAATTATTAACACAATCACTCACTCAACCACTTCATATCACCTCTATTCTACACTTACACCCCCATCAAACATCACACATTAAACACATTTCACTATCAAATCAATCATTGCTTCAATCACATTCCTCCACATATAACACATTCCCTCTCCAACTAAACATATAGCCATATAAACATAAACATATTTTTATTTAAATCTACATGAATCCACGACATTGCCTCTTCTCACATCACCATCGCTCACAATCTCCTTCTCCATTCACAACAACGTCGGTCGTCACACAATATTGCCGATTACTGCTCAGTCGGTCGTTCGTTCGGTCGGTTGATCGATCGGTCTCTCTGTCTCTCTCCCTCTGTCTGCCTGTCTATCCGCCTCACTGTCTTTCTGTCTGTTCGTCTGTTCGTCCACCGTCTGTGTTTCCACCTGACAAACTGTCTGACACACATTGTCTCTCTCTGCACATTCACAATTGACAATTTCACAATCACACAACATTCATTGATCACTCGACACGCACAAGTCAATCTCATCTGATTACTTTCATTGTCGAGTGGAATATCCGTGTGTGCATTGACCACTTGACTCACAGTTTTCAATCAATCACCTTGTAGATGGGAATCCAGATGGCAACAATCAAGTAGAAAAGGAGGATCCTAATTATGGTGGTAAGTGTCTCATAAATCATTTGCATCAATGTATATTGATATTGTTTTGACTATCTGACACACGTGTGAACCATCAGTCCGGTACAACTACACACAAACACTCTATTTCTCTTACACACTCACACACACAAACACATACATAAATACATACCTACATTCACACAAGTGCACACGCACACATTGCGAAACACAATCACTCACATTCACTGACTCGCTCACTAGATTACTCAATTATTAACACAATCACTCACTCAACCACTTCATATCACCTCTATTCTACACTTACACACCCATCAAACATCACACATTAAACACATTTCACTATCAAATCAATCATTGCTTCAATCACATTCCTCCACATATAACACATTCCCTCTCCAACTAAACATATAGCCATATAAACATAAACATATTTTTATTTAAATCTACATGAATCCACGACATTGCCTCTTCTCACATCACCATCGCTCACAATCTCCTTCTCCATTCACAACAACGTCGGTCGTCACACAATATTGCCGATTACTGCTCAGTCGGTCGTTCGTTCGGTCGGTTGATCGATCGGTCTCTCTGTCTCTCTCCCTCTGTCTGCCTGTCTATCCGCCTCACTGTCTTTCTGTCTGTTCGTCTGTTCGTCCACCGTCTGTGTTTCCACCTGACAAACTGTCTGACACACATTGTCTCTCTCTGCACATTCACAATTGACAATTTCACAATCACACAACATTCATTGATCACTCGACACGCACAAGTCAATCTCATCTGATTACTTTCATTGTCGAGTGGAATATCCGTGTGTGCATTGACCACTTGACTCACGGTTTTCAATCAATCACCTTGTAGATGGGAATCCAGATGGGAATCCAGATGGCAACGATCAAGTAGAAAAGGAGGATTCTAATGATGGTGGTAAGTGTCTCATAAATCATTTGCATCAATGTATATTGATATTGTTTTGACTATCTGACACACGTGTGAACCATCAGTCCGGTACAACTACACACAAACACTCTATTTCTCTTACACACTCACACACACAAACACATACATAAATACATACCTACATTCACACAAGTGCACACGCACACATTGCGAAACACAATCACTCACATTCACTGACTCGCTCACTAGATTACTCAATTATTAACACAATCACTCACTCAACCACTTCATATCACCTCTATTCTACACTTACACACCCATCAAACATCACACATTAAACACATTTCACTATCAAATCAATCATTGCTTCAATCACATTCCTCCACATATAACACATTCCCTCTCCAACTAAACATATAGCCATATAAACATAAACATATTTTTATTTAAATCTACATGAATCCACGACATTGCCTCTTCTCACATCACCATCGCTCACAATCTCCTTCTCCATTCACAACAACGTCGGTCGTCACACAATATTGCCGATTACTGCTCAGTCGGTCGTTCGTTCGGTCGGTTGATCGATCGGTCTCTCTGTCTCTCTCCCTCTGTCTGCCTGTCTATCCGCCTCACTGTCTTTCTGTCTGTTCGTCTGTTCGTCCACCGTCTGTGTTTCCACCTGACAAACTGTCTGACACACATTGTCTCTCTCTGCACATTCACACTTGACAATTTCACAATCACACAACATTCATTGATCACTCGACACGCACAAGTCAATCTCATCTGATTACTTTCATTGTCGAGTGGAATATCCGTGTGTGCATTGACCACTTGACTCACGGTTTTCAATCAATCACCTTGTAGATGGGAATCCAGATGGCAACAATCAAGTAGAAAAGGAGGATTCTAATGATGGTGGTAAGTGTCTCATAAATCATTTGCATCAATGTATATTGATATTGTTTTGACTATCTGACACACGTGTGAACCATCAGTCCGGTACAACTACACACAAACACTCTATTTCTCTTACACACTCACACACACAAACACATACATAAATACATACCTACATTCACACAAGTGCACACGCACACATTGCGAAACACAATCACTCACATTCACTGACTCGCTCACTAGATTACTCAATTATTAACACAATCACTCACTCAACCACTTCATATCACCTCTATTCTACACTTACACCCCCATCAAACATCACACATTAAACACATTTCACTATCAAATCAATCATTGCTTCAATCACATTCCTCCACATATAACACATTCCCTCTCCAACTAAACATATAGCCATATAAACATAAACATATTTTTATTTAAATCTACATGAATCCACGACATTGCCTCTTCTCACATCACCATCGCTCACAATCTCCTTCTCCATTCACAACAACGTCGGTCGTCACACAATATTGCCGATTACTGCTCAGTCGGTCGTTCGTTCGGTCGGTTGATCGATCGGTCTCTCTGTCTCTCTCCCTCTGTCTGCCTGTCTATCCGCCTCACTGTCTTTCTGTCTGTTCGTCTGTTCGTCCACCGTCTGTGTTTCCACCTGACAAACTGTCTGACACACATTGTCTCTCTCTGCACATTCACACTTGACAATTTCACAATCACACAACATTCATTGATCACTCGACACGCACAAGTCAATCTCATCTGATTACTTTCATTGTCGAGTGGAATATCCGTGTGTGCATTGACCACTTGACTCACAGTTTTCAATCAATCACCTTGTAGATGGGAATCCAGATGGGAATCCAGATGGCAACGATCAAGTAGAAAAGGAGGATTCTAATGATGGTGGTAAGTGTCTCATAAATCATTTGCATCAATGTATATTGATATTGTTTTGACTATCTGACACACGTGTGAACCATCAGTCCGGTACAACTACACACAAACACTCTATTTCTCTTACACACTCACACACACAAACACATACATAAATACATACCTACATTCACACAAGTGCACACGCACACATTGCGAAACACAATCACTCACATTCACTGACTCGCTCACTAGATTACTCAATTATTAACACAATCACTCACTCAACCACTTCATATCACCTCTATTCTACACTTACACCCCCATCAAACATCACACATTAAACACATTTCACTATCAAATCAATCATTGCTTCAATCACATTCCTCCACATATAACACATTCCCTCTCCAACTAAACATATAGCCATATAAACATAAACATATTTTTATTTAAATCTACATGAATCCACGACATTGCCTCTTCTCACATCACCATCGCTCACAATCTCCTTCTCCATTCACAACAACGTCGGTCGTCACACAATATTGCCGATTACTGCTCAGTCGGTCGTTCGTTCGGTCGGTTGATCGATCGGTCTCTCTGTCTCTCTCCCTCTGTCTGCCTGTCTATCCGCCTCACTGTCTTTCTGTCTGTTCGTCTGTTCGTCCACCGTCTGTGTTTCCACCTGACAAACTGTCTGACACACATTGTCTCTCTCTGCACATTCACACTTGACAATTTCACAATCACACAACATTCATTGATCACTCGACACGCACAAGTCAATCTCATCTGATTACTTTCATTGTCGAGTGGAATATCCGTGTGTGCATTGACCACTTGACTCACGGTTTTCAATCAATCACCTTGTAGATGGGAATCCAGATGGGAATCCAGATGGCAACGATCAAGTAGAAAAGGAGGATTCTAATGATGGTGGTAAGTGTCTCATAAATCATTTGCATCAATGTATATTGATATTGTTTTGACTATCTGACACACGTGTGAACCATCAGTCCGGTACAACTACACACAAACACTCTATTTCTCTTACACACTCACACACACAAACACATACATAAATACATACCTACATTCACACAAGTGCACACGCACACATTGCGAAACACAATCACTCACATTCACTGACTCGCTCACTAGATTACTCAATTATTAACACAATCACTCACTCAACCACTTCATATCACCTCTATTCTACACTTACACCCCCATCAAACATCACACATTAAACACATTTCACTATCAAATCAATCATTGCTTCAATCACATTCCTCCACATATAACACATTCCCTCTCCAACTAAACATATAGCCATATAAACATAAACATATTTTTATTTAAATCTACATGAATCCACGACATTGCCTCTTCTCACATCACCATCGCTCACAATCTCCTTCTCCATTCACAACAACGTCGGTCGTCACACAATATTGCCGATTACTGCTCAGTCGGTCGTTCGTTCGGTCGGTTGATCGATCGGTCTCTCTGTCTCTCTCCCTCTGTCTGCCTGTCTATCCGCCTCACTGTCTTTCTGTCTGTTCGTCTGTTCGTCCACCGTCTGTGTTTCCACCTGACAAACTGTCTGACACACATTGTCTCTCTCTGCACATTCACACTTGACAATTTCACAATCACACAACATTCATTGATCACTCGACACGCACAAGTCAATCTCATCTGATTACTTTCATTGTCGAGTGGAATATCCGTGTGTGCATTGACCACTTGACTCACGGTTTTCAATCAATCACCTTGTAGATGGGAATCCAGATGGGAATCCAGATGGCAACGATCAAGTAGAAAAGGAGGATTCTAATGATGGTGGTAAGTGTCTCATAAATCATTTGCATCAATGTATATTGATATTGTTTTGACTATCTGACACACGTGTGAACCATCAGTCCGGTACAACTACACACAAACACTCTATTTCTCTTACACACTCACACACACAAACACATACATAAATACATACCTACATTCACACAAGTGCACACGCACACATTGCGAAACACAATCACTCACATTCACTGACTCGCTCACTAGATTACTCAATTATTAACACAATCACTCACTCAACCACTTCATATCACCTCTATTCTACACTTACACCCCCATCAAACATCACACATTAAACACATTTCACTATCAAATCAATCATTGCTTCAATCACATTCCTCCACATATAACACATTCCCTCTCCAACTAAACATATAGCCATATAAACATAAACATATTTTTATTTAAATCTACATGAATCCACGACATTGCCTCTTCTCACATCACCATCGCTCACAATCTCCTTCTCCATTCACAACAACGTCGGTCGTCACACAATATTGCCGATTACTGCTCAGTCGGTCGTTCGTTCGGTCGGTTGATCGATCGGTCTCTCTGTCTCTCTCCCTCTGTCTGCCTGTCTATCCGCCTCACTGTCTTTCTGTCTGTTCGTCTGTTCGTCCACCGTCTGTGTTTCCACCTGACAAACTGTCTGACACACATTGTCTCTCTCTGCACATTCACACTTGACAATTTCACAATCACACAACATTCATTGATCACTCGACACGCACAAGTCAATCTCATCTGATTACTTTCATTGTCGAGTGGAATATCCGTGTGTGCATTGACCACTTGACTCACGGTTTTCAATCAATCACCTTGTAGATGGGAATCCAGATGGGAATCCAGATGGCAACGATCAAGTAGAAAAGGAGGATTCTAATGATGGTGGTAAGTGTCTCATAAATCATTTGCATCAATGTATATTGATATTGTTTTGACTATCTGACACACGTGTGAACCATCAGTCCGGTACAACTACACACAAACACTCTATTTCTCTTACACACTCACACACACAAACACATACATAAATACATACCTACATTCACACAAGTGCACACGCACACATTGCGAAACACAATCACTCACATTCACTGACTCGCTCACTAGATTACTCAATTATTAACACAATCACTCACTCAACCACTTCATATCACCTCTATTCTACACTTACACCCCCATCAAACATCACACATTAAACACATTTCACTATCAAATCAATCATTGCTTCAATCACATTCCTCCACATATAACACATTCCCTCTCCAACTAAACATATAGCCATATAAACATAAACATATTTTTATTTAAATCTACATGAATCCACGACATTGCCTCTTCTCACATCACCATCGCTCACAATCTCCTTCTCCATTCACAACAACGTCGGTCGTCACACAATATTGCCGATTACTGCTCAGTCGGTCGTTCGTTCGGTCGGTTGATCGATCGGTCTCTCTGTCTCTCTCCCTCTGTCTGCCTGTCTATCCGCCTCACTGTCTTTCTGTCTGTTCGTCTGTTCGTCCACCGTCTGTGTTTCCACCTGACAAACTGTCTGACACACATTGTCTCTCTCTGCACATTCACACTTGACAATTTCACAATCACACAACATTCATTGATCACTCGACACGCACAAGTCAATCTCATCTGATTACTTTCATTGTCGAGTGGAATATCCGTGTGTGCATTGACCACTTGACTCACGGTTTTCAATCAATCACCTTGTAGATGGGAATCCAGATGGGAATCCAGATGGCAACGATCAAGTAGAAAAGGAGGATCCTAATTATGGTGGTAAGTGTCTCATAAATCATTTGCATCAATGTATATTGATATTGTTTTGACTATCTGACACACGTGTGAACCATCAGTCCGGTACAACTACACACAAACACTCTATTTCTCTTACACACTCACACACACAAACACATACATAAATACATACCTACATTCACACAAGTGCACACGCACACATTGCGAAACACAATCACTCACATTCACTGACTCGCTCACTAGATTACTCAATTATTAACACAATCACTCACTCAACCACTTCATATCACCTCTATTCTACACTTACACACCCATCAAACATCACACATTAAACACATTTCACTATCAAATCAATCATTGCTTCAATCGCATTCCTCCACATATAACACATTCCTTCTCCAACTAAACATATAGCCATATAAACATAAACATATTTTTATTTAAATCTACATGAATCCACGACATTGCCTCTTCTCACATCACCATCGCTCACAATCTCCTTCTCCATTCACAACAACGTCGGTCGTCACACAATATTGCCGATTACTGCTCAGTCGGTCGTTCGTTCGGTCGGTTGATCGATCGGTCTCTCTGTCTCTCTCCCTCTGTCTGCCTGTCTATCCGCCTCACTGTCTTTCTGTCTGTTCGTCTGTTCGTCCACCGTCTGTGTTTCCACCTGACAAACTGTCTGACACACATTGTCTCTCTCTGCACATTCACACTTGACAATTTCACAATCACACAACATTCATTGATCACTCGACACGCACAAGTCAATCTCATCTGATTACTTTCATTGTCGAGTGGAATATCCGTGTGTGCATTGACCACTTGACTCACGGTTTTCAATCAATCACCTTGTAGAAGGGAATCCAGATGGGAATCCAGATGGCAACGATCAAGTAGAAAAGGAGGATTCTAATTATGGTGGTAAGTGTCTCATAAATCATTTGCATCAATGTATATTGATATTGTTTTGACTATCTGACACACGTGTGAACCATCAGTCCGGTACAACTACACACAAACACTCTATTTCTCTTACACACTCACACACACAAACACATACATAAATACATACCTACATTCACACAAGTGCACACGCACACATTGCGAAACACAATCACTCACATTCACTGACTCGCTCACTAGATTACTCAATTATTAACACAATCACTCACTCAACCACTTCATATCACCTCTATTCTACACTTACACCCCCATCAAACATCACACATTAAACACATTTCACTATCAAATCAATCATTGCTTCAATCACATTCCTCCACATATAACACATTCCCTCTCCAACTAAACATATAGCCATATAAACATAAACATATTTTTATTTAAATCTACATGAATCCACGACATTGCCTCTTCTCACATCACCATCGCTCACAATCTCCTTCTCCATTCACAACAACGTCGGTCGTCACACAATATTGCCGATTACTGCTCAGTCGGTCGTTCGTTCGGTCGGTTGATCGATCGGTCTCTCTGTCTCTCTCCCTCTGTCTGCCTGTCTATCCGCCTCACTGTCTTTCTGTCTGTTCGTCTGTTCGTCCACCGTCTGTGTTTCCACCTGACAAACTGTCTGACACACATTGTCTCTCTCTGCACATTCACACTTGACAATTTCACAATCACACAACATTCATTGATCACTCGACACGCACAAGTCAATCTCATCTGATTACTTTCATTGTCGAGTGGAATATCCGTGTGTGCATTGACCACTTGACTCACGGTTTTCAATCAATCACCTTGTAGATGGGAATCCAGATGGGAATCCAGATGGCAACGATCAAGTAGAAAAGGAGGATCCTAATTATGGTGGTAAGTGTCTCATAAATCATTTGCATCAATGTATATTGATATTGTTTTGACTATCTGACACACGTGTGAACCATCAGTCCGGTACAACTACACACAAACACTCTATTTCTCTTACACACTCACACACACAAACACATACATAAATACATACCTACATTCACACAAGTGCACACGCACACATTGCGAAACACAATCACTCACATTCACTGACTCGCTCACTAGATTACTCAATTATTAACACAATCACTCACTCAACCACTTCATATCACCTCTATTCTACACTTACACACCCATCAAACATCACACATTAAACACATTTCACTATCAAATCAATCATTGCTTCAATCACATTCCTCCACATATAACACATTCCCTCTCCAACTAAACATATAGCCATATAAACATAAACATATTTTTATTTAAATCTACATGAATCCACGACATTGCCTCTTCTCACATCACCATCGCTCACAATCTCCTTCTCCATTCACAACAACGTCGGTCGTCACACAATATTGCCGATTACTGCTCAGTCGGTCGTTCGGTCGGTTGATCGATCGGTCTCTCTGTCTCTCTCCCTCTGTCTGCCTGTCTATCCGCCTCACTGTCTTTCTGTCTGTTCGTCCATCGTCTGTGTTTCCACCTGACAAACTGTCTAACACACATTGTCTCTCTCTGCACATTCACACTTGACAATTTCACAATCACACAACATTCATTGATCACTCGACACGCACAAGTCAATCTCATCTGATTACTTTCATTGTCGAGTGGAATATCCGTGTGTGCATTGACCACTTGACTCACGGTTTTCAATCAATCTTTTTTTAGATTTCTATGATGTTGAACATATTGGAGATGTTGCCGTTGATATTATTGTTGAAGGTGAGTATATCATTATTTATTTGTGTCAATTTTCATTGTTGCTCTTTTTCTTTTTCGTACACATATTTCATTTTTTATATCTTAATTTCAATACTGAATTTTATTGTTATAAATCATAGTGATATATGCTGTATTTGACTAACTTACCGAATTTTATTCACACATTTTGATGTTCATCATTTCTACTTGGTTTCTTGTTTTACTTGATACACCCATATATCTGCTTATATTTTTAATAATACATATCCCTTATTTACGTTCACTGTTGTTTTTAGTATTCTCTCTTACACTTTCTCACTGTCATAAACTTTCTTTTTGTTTCTCTTTATCTGGTTTTTCATGAATTTTTTTTTGTTTTTTTTTGTCTTAATTCCTATAGATTTTTTTTGTTTTACTCTTTTTTTATTTCTTGAATATGCTTGTCAAATCCTTCAAATTATTTTAGTGTTTTTTTTTAAAATGTTTTTTTGTATATTTTCATCTTTTACCGTTTTCTTTTCTTTTCATTTTTTGTTTTTTTTTTCTTTGTCTTTTCCATTATGATTTTTTTTGTCAGTTCTGTTATATTGATTATTATTATTGTATTATACACAGAATTCTTAAATCATAATTTAACTTTTATTTGCCAATGTACAGAAACTATGACTATTTGATTATCTATATATTTCTGTAGTACCAACATTTGAAGTGAAGTCAGTATTGGCTATGGAGGATGAAAAATTACCACAATATTGGTCAGTTGAATTGACAAATACAAGCACTCCAGCTTATATTAATCTGGCAGCTACATTTTGTGATTCAGTGAGTGTGATATTGTGATAAGATTTTTGTAAATTTGCTTTTAATAGATAGTTTATTATAGATAGTATATGTGAATGTGATTCTAGAATTCATAGTAGACATATGAATCAGTTCCATCACTTACTCTCCACTAAACTTGTTAATCTTTTGTATTGGGCATTAATTGATTTACTTGGAAAGATGGTATGTATTTATTGAATAAATTTATATTATTATAACATTTTCTGTGGAATCTGGATGTAGGTTTGTGGATGAGCACTGTTGAGAATTTATATACGAAACGATTGTACAATGCTTTCAGGTTTTCAATAATGGTCTAACATTTATCGATTCATGATCTCAATCAAAAACTTAACAATCTCCATAATCCATTACTTAAAACTAGTAATTGCATTTTTTCAAATAAGAGGTTTCATCAGTGATGAGTTTATTCCATAAGCAATTTAAGGAGTCATACTTGTCTAGTGGATTATGAACTGATATCATCAAGATTAGAATTGAGAGAAAGTGTGGGAATTTCACTGACGATTGATTATTTAATAATAATATTCGTTCTCGTCGAGGATGTACTGATCATATCTTCACACTCCGCCATATGTTAGAACACCGTCATAGTTATCAATAATGTCCAAGCAATGCAATCCGCACTTAATCAGTTGGCAGTCAATGTCCGTAGGTTTCGTATGTGCTATAAACCTTCTAAGTGCAAAGTACTTCTACAAGACTGGCAGGATCCTAATCCTGTACTCACTCTGGATGGTGAGCAGATAGAAGTAGTCGAGAAGTTCGTGTATCTGGGTAGCTGCATAAGTGCTGGTGAGGGTGTGAGTGATGAGATCAATGCATGTATAGTGAAAGCCAGAGTGGTGTATGCAAATCTCGGCCACCTTTGGCGCTTTCGTGATGTTAGTCTGGCTGTAAAAGGTAGGATCTACATCGCGTCGGAGAGAGCAGTTTTGTTCTATGCTTGTGAAACCTGGCCTCTCCGAGTTGACGATGTTACACGACTATGTGTTCCATCATCGCTGTCTCCGAAGGATTGCTGACATTCAGTGTCAACACCGTGTCAGTAATGCAGAGGCTCGGCATCGTGTGTTCGGGCACAGAGATGATAATTCAATCGGTGTCATCATCTTGAAACACTGACTTCGGTGGCTTCGACATGTCCTATGAATGTCGTCCCAGAGAATTCCATGTCGTGCACTATTTGCTGACTCTGTCATTCAGTCAGTCAGTATCAACGGAGAACTTCGTACGTACGTACATCAATTCAAGTTGCCACACCACATTAGCGCGGAGATGCAGTGGTCCATTCAAATCCCGTAGTGTTAGATGTAGGAAAATTAGAAGCTGTACCCAGAAAAATTATCGTTTGAAGAAGTTATTCAAGGAGTATAATCCAGTGAGATAAATTTGGAAAGAGAAAAAGAAAGGCACATGAAGAAATCAGAAGATTAGAATTTGGGAGAACACAAAGAGTGGATGCACCTGCGCAATTGCAAACGATTTTGAGCCATGTCATTCAAGGTCTCTAACCATCGGTTGCTATCATCTCGCGGTCCCCAACCAGGTAGTCTACACCTACCATCATGACTCAGTCCACTTGTCAGTGACTTCATGGATTTGTGCCATGTTTTGGTCTGGCCACTCTTAGATTTCTTCCATCCTATTCCTACACCATAAAACATCGTACGTCGGGGCAGTCGGTGGTATGGCATACGTAACACGTGTCCCAGACATCTCAACTGATGAAGTTTCACTACATCATCAATTGATTTGCCATCCTTACTTAGTACCTGTTTCCTAACAACTGCATTACTTGCTCGGTGGTTCCAGGATATACGAGCAACGCTTTGAAGACACCTATGATCGAATACTAGTAACCTACGAATATCCTCTACTCTTACAGGCCATGTTTCACTGCCATAAAGTAGGACGGAACGGACTGCTGCGCAGTAAACACGTCCTTTGGTTGATAGACGGATATCTCGCCTACGCCATAAATGACGCAAGTTGGCATAAACTAGTTGAGCCTTCTGTATCCGTGCTGAGATTTTGTCACACATCAGACCACAAGGGCTGATGAAACTTCTCAGATAAGTGAAGCGGTCGACACACTCAATTACTTCACTCCCTATCATAAGTTCGGGTGACGATGCAACCCAATCCTGAAGTGTTTGTATCTTTTTTAACTGAAAGATTTCTTCTGATTGTACCTTTCCGTTTCCCCCATTATTATTATTATTATTATCACACTACCTTACACTAATCTGTTCGTTATTGTTCTTTTTTTACGCTCTTTACCTTCCTTTTTTCTCTTCCCATTATCATCGTTATTGTGTGGCGCATATATATTTGGTGCCCCCTTGTACCAATATTTATGTGTTCAACTAAATAAATAAATAATATATTTATAGTAGTAATGATTACTGATTGTCACATATGACCAACGCACAGGAATTGTTGTCATTCATAATTTTCTAAAATTCAATGATTCTTTCATTGATTAAAACATTAATTAGTAATTTGTAATCCATTTTTATAAAATTCACAGATTTTAAGTAGTTTGAAACTTGGAAATCCATCATTGTCAGACGATGCAAAATGTACTAATGTTACATTCACACCAGTTGAGTCCTCAAATCGTCTGAAAAGAGAGGTAAACGCGACCTTAGATCAAAATAGAGAACAAGGTATTCAAGGAACAGCGAATATAGAAATTCCAACTCCTCAAGCAAAAGAACTGACGACAGAAGCATTTACAAATATTATTAATTCTGGTATTGAGAAATCAGACAACAAAACCGGACTGAAGTTATCTAATGTGGAAACTAAAAGTTAGTAAAAAAATTTTCATGGAATTATTTTTATTTTAATTTTAAACTAAGTATATCTGACTATCTCAAAAACAAGATGATGCAATGACGTTGCCCACCGAAAACAATGAAGGATGATCTCGTTATATAGTCTATTGATTAGCCTTAGCCTTTAAGACTCTCAGATTTCAAATCAGTGGTTTATAAGTTAAGAGTTTGTACGTGATATCATTTGCTCTAGGTTTGATTCTCGGTTGTGATATTGTAGGTGCATACTGCTGCGGTGTCTTATACAAGAACGAAACAGACATCCAGCTCTCCGAGATTTTCGCTGTATAACTTATAGTCGTTCGGCGCATCAATTAAAAAAGCAATTAAGATATTGGACTAGGTGAATGGTTGATAAAGTGGTAGGAAGAGTTAGGAAAACCAAATAAATAAAGGACTACGAGACAAAATCACATATATATCGTTGGAAGAAAGCAATATCGCTTTAGATGTTGATTGTCTGAAGTATACACATTTCATCCATCACAGCCCTAAACAGCCAACAGTACGACTTCACTTTCGAGTTTCTGCTTTTCCTCCTATCATTTTCTAATCTACCTGTCTGGTATGATGGGACATCAAGAGATACGTATTCTAGCTGATACACCTCAATTGAGTTATTAGGGTACGTAAGTTAAACCATTATGTCAAAGAAGCATCTACGTTTAAGCCGATTGTGATATACATTATTCTGTCTCATTTTGAACTAACACATTTATCTATGAATCAATCTTTTTTTTCACTATTTTTAGAAACGGTTGTATTAAAAACTAAAAGTGAGTTTCGTTTTATACCTTCATTAATTAATATTCATGCTGACTTGATCAGATCATATTCATAATACCAAAATCCAGGTAGAATGCAATCAACACAGTCATTACGATTAACATTATACATACCCGTTATTATGCCTAACAATCCACACACACGTTACATTGTACACAATTTCCTGCTTAAATCATACTATTTATATCACATCTAATACATTAATTCATATTTTCATTGTTGGTTTGTGTTCATTTGCATTCACTGAGAGGGTAGTAATCCTATGAGAGTAATTGAATATTTTATAAATTGATCATTTCTTGTCTCTCTTATTTAATTATCATATAGCAATAATAAAGAAGAAGAAGAAACGTACGATAAAAGGTTAGTCGCCTTTTCTCAATGAATTAATCTATATTAATGCTCATTTAATTAGCTTGTAGTGTCTAGTACCATGTCAAGCCCACATAACTTATTCTAACTTTTGGACAGAGCAATTTATTCATTCTTCTCAAGCTATATTCTTGATCTTCCTAATTATTCGTTTATCAACCTTGACTATTTTTATGTAAACGTAGGTGTGTGCACTTACTCATTACATACTATCTCTGCTGATAATCTTTTTGACTGAATATCAATATTGACACAATCAGCACAGAATACACATATGCCAATAAGAGAGACTGATCAATTACAGACATAAATATCAATGGAAAGATTCAAATATATTTTGATTAGACTTATACCTTAAGATGATATAAAGAAAGAAACTTATATACCTTAAGATAATAGAAGCGTTCATTATACTAAGATTAGTGATACAATGACACCAAATTAATTAATCCTTATTCCTTCTTTCGTTTTGTTTGTTTACAAATATAATGTGATGTATGCTACTGATGATGACAGATATAAGTAGTATGTGTCATCAACCGAAAGTAAAATGACTGAAGGTAGAAGGTTGAGAAAAGAAGAGAAAAAGAACAGTGACTGATATAGAAATGAAATAATAACAAAATCTGAAACAATTGATGGATATTTTGCAAATAAAATATTCATAGTATGATAATAAAATACATTTGATTGTCCCCACTATTGTTCTCGTTCACTACAAGTATTTTTATATATAACAAATTAAGATCACTAACCGATTGATGTTAGACAACCAATATAAACCTAGAAACACTGGACGGTCGCGTCGTTCTAGTATGGGAATCCTCATCAGTGTGCATCCACGACCCCGATCACCGGATTCGAACCCGGGGACTTCGATCTCGCGCTTACCCTCTAGACCACTGAGCCGGCCGGCATCCCACACTGTGAATGTCTAACCAATCCACGAAATTGCGCGGCAATCTTCCATCATACTGAGGTAGATAGCCGTCTCTACTTGACACGGATTAGCTCCATTGGTCACGACTTCTAACTAGAACTCCGAGAATTCTCTCACAAAGCTAGTCACTAGTGAGCACACACTAATTATCAGTACGGGGTTGTGGAGATTATTATATTTTGATTGAGATCATGAGCCGAATCCCGCGAGCGGGATCGTGGATAAGCACTGCTGAGAAATCCCAAAAAAGAACAAAACGGCCGTCCATTACTTTTAAAGGTTTTCAATGGCCGTCAAACATCAGTCGGTTCATGATCTCAATCAAAAAATATAATAATCGCCACAACCCAATACCGATATAAAAGATTGTGTAAGTTACGTTAAGGTTATAAAACATACTACTATGATAGAATTGTATTGAATAACTGAATAAAGAACCAGTTAGTGGTGTTTTTTCATAAAATATTTTACGTGAGTGTGTTCACCTAATAAGTAAGACCAGATAAGGGTTATAAACCAGTTTGTGGAATTAGAATTATGAATGACAATTGATGAGCTTAAGGTTAGAAATGAGATTTAGGGTTTTCATCAAGAACTGACATCAGTTATAATACCAAAACGCCATTTATCCAAATGGATGAATGAATTTCGCGCCAAAGTCCAAGACCTATTACCTTATACCTAATTAGTTCATCCCCCAAATGCCCTGGTACGGCCGAAATGCTCTCACATTGCCATGCGTAAACAACCACTCCTACGGAATTCCTAGTCACTGGTTTCTTGCGGCATTACTGTTGTTAACGAAGTTGAGGGGACGAAATGCGAATGTCCGGTGCTTTAACCGGCTTGCTGGAGATGGAGAATTTATCTAGGGGAGTTGGATAACCCTAATTCCAAACCAATGATGCACATGGGCTCTAGTATCCCGAAGGAACAAATGGCATATGAACCAATTATTGGTCACTACATACCATGGGACTACATTTCCTTACGTTGCTCCACTGACTTGTGGATCAGAACTTTAAATTGAAGGTTCCGGGTGTGGCCCCTTAAGAAAACCACCTGTTTCAGTTTGAGCACCTAGACAGTATTCCAGCCCTCATACAAATCGAATGATTTATGTAGCGTATATCTATTCGGTACCTCCTTGTACTAATGTTCATATGTTTAACAAATATAAATAAATCTGAATTGAATTATACTTTTTTGTTATTATTATTTATTCATTATTTCTAGAAGATCACATCGGAACTATCATCGCCATAGCTGCTGTTGCTACTGGAATTTTACTAATTGTAATTGTTATTGGAATCATTTATAAATATCGTCGAAGAAATTCCGCTTGAAAATTAAATCATCTTAAATAATTCATAAATTTTCCTTATTTATTTATTATCATTTATTGATTTATTATTGTTTATTGATTTATCTTAATCAATATTAGTGTAGTTAATGTTTGTCATTAATTTTTGTAATGAAGTACATTTTTTTTGTAGTGAATAGTTTCTTTTCAATAAACCTTATATTGCAATAAATAAATAAATAAATTTTTATTTTCTTCATAATGCGAATAATGTGGCGTGGAACTCGTACTAGTCAAGTGGGTGGTTGGGTGGGTGTCTGACTCTCTTATGAAATAGGATTGAGTTCTATTGTTTTTAGTTATCATGTAAAAGTTTGAATGATACCCAGTTAGTTCTCCTAAAAATCATTATAAAATTACCCTAACCTATAAGGGTATCTGTGAATGAGAATGAATTGATAGTATTTGATTGAAGTTATAGTGAATCATTAAAAGATATCAGATGGGTTTTGTGGATATTATAGTAATTTCAATGGTTAAGATCATGAGGCACTTGAAGCTAGACCCCCACGGAAAACCTGGAAACACTGGGCGGCCGTTTCTTCCTATTGTGGGACTCCTCAGCAGTGCGCACCCGCGACCCCGTCCCCTGAGGGATTCGAACCCAGGACCTACCGGTCTCGCGTGCTTCCAGGTTTTCCATGGTGGTCTAGCTTCAACTGACTCATGATCTTAACCGTTGAAACCATTAAAAGATAATTTGTTTAGATACAATATACACTTCCAAACATATCATATCTGTAGTCTCTCATAATTGCAGCTTCAAATTGTGGATATAGTACTGACTAAATTAAAGTATTATATTCCTGATTTAGACGTTTCATGTAACACATTTAATAGAATCGTGAAAGTACCGATAAGATTAACCAGAAGACCTTAGAAAGTTTTCTCAAAAGAGAATTACATTACGGATTTGAATTATACAAGGTATAATTTTGAAATCACCAGTACCAATTAGAATGAAATTAAGACATCTTATTATGAAAAATAGAATAAGGTGAATTGTAACTGGTATATTATTAAGTAATTCCCATAACTTTCCAATACATACTCCGATAGTCAGTCACAAACGGATCGATCACCATACAGGTCAGAAAGAACACAGTAAATACATATGTGTTGAATAATCTTCGAATTAGTTTTCATCACATACAAAGACCATTTATTTAATGATATGTGTATGATGAATTTCAACCACTGACTACTGTGAAAGTATGGTTATAAATTAGCATGAGGAATACAGACTAGATGTTAGAGTTATAAATTAAGAGTAAGAATTAGAATTAGGGTTATTACTACACACTAACACCAGTTATAATGTTAAAATGAGACAACATCCAAGAATCGTAATCTTAGAACTGATTGAATCGTCCATAAATCAGATTGTAGTTTCAAAGAATTAATATTCTCTGTGTCAATATTAGAATATGCAATTTTTGAAGCTGTGAACAATTTTTCGATGTGCAATTTTTTAGTTACTTAATTTTTACGCAGTTCATTACGGAAAATTATACTTGAAGCATTTTCAACGTTTTTAGACTAGTAACAGATGGTTCATTATCAGTAACCAGAAATTCATAGGTTACAGTAAATTTATGGAAAAATCCGTTATCGATGGTTCTTTAAAGTACCTCGATGCTATTTAAAATCTGAAAACTCTGCATACTGGTTCGTTCAAGGCATGCAGAAAGAGAGAGAGAATTCGAAGTTTGACTGAGAGTTCCTAGTGCTTTTTTGGTAAAATTTAAGTTGATCATATCTCCTGACTATTTGGGACCCGTTACTAAAGCACTCAACAACCAGAACCACTATGAATTTTCGTATTTATAAACCATTTACACTTATGACTTGTTATTTAGCTTGCATGGGATTTGTCAGGGTAGTGTCACGGCTTAGAATAGTTTTAAATGATTTGAGACAACAGTAGAGTGGACTTGAGTGTTGTTAGAGGTTGTGAATCTTCATCGACTGAGATGGTTGGACCACGAGTTACGTATGCCTGAACACCGATTACCACGACGTGCAATGCTAATCGGTGTAGGGAAGGGTTGGAAGAAAGTTAGGGGAGGCCAAACCAAAACGTGGCATCAGTGCTTGAAGTCAGTAACTTCTAGTCTGAGCCATGTTGGTAGATGCAGACTACTTGGTTGGGGTCCGCGTGACTTTCGTAACCAATAATTGGAGACTGTGGGTGACATGACTCAGAATCGATCACAATGACGTAGGTGTATACACTTCCTGTCTTCCCTTAAACTAAGAGATTAAAATCGCTTCATATCTGTCTACTAACTAATTCTTTCTTCCTATACTATATCCTTATATGCAATCTTTCTCCTATATATTACCACCGTTGACCTAACCACTCCTATGAGTCCGGTGTTCATCTTGCTGTGCTAATGAGGTATGGTAACCTGGACTAATGCACATATGTGCCTCGTCCTACGTTGTAGCTGACTGACGGACTGACTGACTGAAACAACAGTATTCAAAATGTCCGGACCCATGGCTCCTTTTAAGTAACTTCACTGATGACGCCATAGGTTGAATTCGAAGAAAAACATACAGAAAGATTCTTATCTAGTCTGCACTTAAAACTATTGATGTGTATGACGATGAATAACAGAATTAGGGCACTATGATTTCCCTAATCCCAAAGCAAGTAGTTCACACAAGAACTAAATTGACGAGAACTAAATGCACATATCCCAAAACAAAAACTAGCTGAATAAAATATCAACTTATTATAGACAATGTAGGACGATATAATCTGAAAACAAAATACAAAAACATTTAAGCTATTTCCAAAATACTTGTATCCAGGCCAATCGTTGGGAAACAATATATACCCGACGACGAGCAGTGGTGGCCATACTAACAAAATCGAACATAACCAAATAGTCTAAGTCGTTGACAGTATTAATGAAAAATAAACTTCGGCGTTTGCTACCGAAATTTAGCTTGAGTTGAAATTTTCCTCACTGTCAAGTATAGACTCATTGAATGGATTAGACTGCATTGTAAAGGCTGATCCAAGATCAATGAAAACAAGCAACGATGTAGACATAAGCACACTGGATGCAGTTTGATATACATACCTATGAAAGAAGTAGAACGTACACGGATACGCCTGTTCGACCACCTTCGTTATAGTCACTCTAAAATATATCTCCAAAGCCTTGGTCTGTAATACTACTTACCAAAACAGTTTGCCTTCTATACCTCAGATAATCGACACTACAGTCCGCCCACCTAAATGAGTACTATATATGACGTGACAGGAACTAGTTATGATGTTTAATTCGCTTAGTCAAAACTAGCCATCTTAGCTTCTGCATAAAACGTCTTTTTTCAATTTCCTCGAAATTGATTGAAGTTAGCTCATATATTTTACACTTGCCATTGCCACTGTATCTGTCCTTTTCACACAGCACGCAAAAGCTATATGGAAGCAAGCTAACGTTCTAATTGATTTGGCAGCTTACTCGAATTATACTACAACTTCCATCATCAATCTTCGATAGTAAACGGTTACTGATTTCTGGTGTTGTGCAACCTTCAATTGCATGATCAGATTTCAAGCATTCAAAACACAGATATTCCTTGCTTGCATACACTAACTACTGACGCACAGTAAGCCTCATAGATCTATCGCAATGCTCTAGCTAATATTGTTTTTTCCGTAAGACACATCCCACTGGATCTAACTCTAAACTACTAAGTTGCATATTCCCAAACTACATTCTTTTTGTCGACTGGTTTAAAATATCTTATACGAGATTTAGTCTGTTAGAAAAACTTGGGTCAACACCCTTCTCTTCTATCCTAGAGCCAGCGTGTAATCACTTACGTTTCAAACGGGTAGGCAGCCTCATCGCTATTAATCCCGATACCAGGATGGAATTTAAATCCCGTTCTAGACACAACAACAAGTTATTTGAAAAAAGTAGCGAAAACTTTGACATCAATAACCTGACATCTACTTTACTTTACCTGTTCAAACTCCTTTAAATAATCCTACATGATCACACAAACCTTTTAGCAAAAGTCTTCTTAGCTTCCTTATAATCTCGGTAGAAAACACCAAAAACTGCAATAGTCAATAGTTGTATTCGTAGCTGCTGTCACAAACTTTCTTTGTAGTCATAGTCATTTTCATAGTTGTATTAGTAAAACAAGTTTAAGTATAGAGCAAATAATTTGTGAGAAGATAGAGTAAATATATGAAATATAAATGTATAAAACTGTTTCAGAATTGATTTTGGAATGAAATAAAGATTAGATATATTAGGATCATATCGAATGGTGTCATGTGACTTTGACATTGTAGAATTTTCTCGAAAAATAAGTGAAAATTTATAACATCAATTATTGTTCAACCAAACTGTGGTGTTTGCTACTTATGTAGACAGATATAAGTAGTATGTAATAACAATCGGAAGTGGAAAACCTTGACAGAAGGCTATTTGAAGAAAGCAGTCAGTCAGTCAGTCAGTAACAACGTAGAACTTCGTACGTACGTACATCAGTTCGAGTTGCCAGACCACCTTAACACAGAGATGCAGTTGTCTATCCAAATCCCATTGTGGTAGAGGTAGCAAGAGTATAAGCAGTAATCGGGAAGATTAGGGTTTGGAGATGTTATTTAACGAGTATAATCCAGTGAAATAAATTTGGAAAGAGGAAAAAAAGGGGCATGAAGAATTCAGAAGATTAGAATTTGGGAGAACAAAGAGTGGATGCACCTGCGCCATTGCAATCGATTTTGAGCCATGTCATTCAGGGTCTCTAACCATCGGTTGCTATCATCTCGCGGTCCCCAACCAGGTAGTCTACACCTACCAACATGACTCAGTTCACTTGTCAGTGACTTCATGGATTTGTGCCATGTTTTGGTCTGGCCGCCCCTAGCTTTCTTCCAACCTACTCCTATACCACTGAATATAGCACGTCGAGGTAGTCGGTGGTTGGGCATACGTAACACGTGTCCCAGACATCTCAACTGATGAAGTTTCACTACTTCATCAATTGATTTGCCATCCTCACCTAGTACCCGTTTCCTAACAGCTGCGTTACTTACTCGGTTGTCCCAGGATATACGAGCAATACTTCGAAGACAC